ATGAATCGAGCACGCCTTACCGAGAACCTGTGTGTGCACATCACAGCACCACTGCGCCACTTGTAAAAAAGGTTTCTCTGCTAAAGAGCAGTTCAGAGTGCCCATTAGGATGATGATCCATTAACAGAGCTGTGTGTTGGTGTAAGACTAGAATAGGAAATGGAGGCTGACTGTCAGGAGTTCAGAAATCAAACAGCCATTATGTGAAAAGTACTTGTTGCTAAAAGCTGTGGCGATTACCATCACAGGAAAACTGCAGATGAAGAGGCAAGCATGATGACACGTAGGGAAGGAGAGTTTAGACATCCCTTTTCCTCCACAACGCATCTATAGTTTTGCGTTTCCCTTTTCAATTGTAAGCTCTTTGGAACAGGGACTGTATCTCTGTCTGTAGAACACCCAAGTACATTTTGGATGTTACTGTTGAGATGTCAGAGGGTGGAGATGGATGGCAGGAGAGAGATCACTTGATCATTGCCTGTTAGATTCACTCCCTCTGGGGCACCTGGCATTGGCCACTGTTGGTAGACAGGATGCTGGGCTGGGTGGACCCTTGGTCTGACCCAATAAGGCCATTCTTAATATTTTAAAAAACATTTTTAAAGAACATATCTCCGCTTACATTTTATTGTTTGTATAATGAAGGCACTGGAATGCTAAAACAATCCAACTATCAGGACAGAAGAATTAGATGCTCATCTTATGAATTAGAGGTCGTTTTAATTACATCTGGTATATGCTCATTATCTTTCCAGTACACTTGAACAGCATTATGTGAGCCTATCTGCACTTTACACAGATGTGAGCACATCAGGGTGCTGTTGTATTTTATTCAGTAGACTAGTGTGAGTTTGCTCTTTCCTTTTTTTTTTTAACAACTATAATAATGAGAAAATGGTAAATACATCTGGGGCAAAGGAATTTAATGAGGTTTTACAAGGACTGTTAATCAACTTGCAGAGGTAAAACATCTTTATTTGCCCAGTGACTGAAAGTTCTTGTCTGTCTGAATAAAAACACTCTTTCACAGCCGCCCGCTTAGGCATCTCAGCATATGTTATGGCTATTCACTTGCATTTTCTGAACAACAGCTAGGTCAGGCCATTCTGATTCATGCATATCCATAGTAGTAGCACATACCAAATTAGAGACAGATTGCTGAGAATTTAAAATAGATGCATTTGAACAATAATTGGTTATAATTATATTTTTATAACATGGGTCATTTTCATAAAAAAAAGTAGCCAACATGGTTATTAAACAAAACTCTACAATCAGTGTCAAGAGGACCAGCATGGACCAATGCAGCATGCATGGAATTAAGTCAGGCACTGATGAATTCTAATCCACTGACTCACACTGTGGCCTGGGGCAAGCCACCACACCTCGGTTCCCCAACCATTAAATGGGGACAGCAATATGTGGATACCTCTCCTAACAGGAAGGCTGTGAAGAAAAATTAGTAAGTGTTTTTGTGAAGTGCTTTGAAGATGTAAAGCACTGTATAAATGCCAAGTATTATTTGTCAGCCTCTCTCTCTCTCACTAAGTAATAACTTATTCCATAACTAGTCCCAATAGACTTACTCCTGGAATAACGTTCTGCTTATTATAAGAGTGACACAATCGGGCTCTTATTAACTAGGGCCTCGGACTCCTACATCACTGAGGGACAGAGTCACAAAGGTACTCAGGTGCTGGGATGGGGAGCGTTGCAATGCCAACCTTTTAGGGGCCTAGGAAGTCACAGGAGAACGCTGATTCACAAAGCCTGAGTTAGGTGCCTAGGCTCCCTATACAATGAAGGGGGAGAGAGAAGCACCTTAGCCTGCAATTCACAAAAGCCAACACACTACACCGGGAGCTGCCTAAAGCCAGTTAATGGGGAATGCCGACAACTGGGTGTGTCCCACATCCCACCCCATCATGGAGATAGGCACCTAAATCCAGGGTGCAAAGAGGCTCCTACATCTGCTAACAACTCATGGATGGGAACTGCTCTCCTGGAGGCAGGCGGCTTAGGCATCTAAGCCACATCTTGTGAGAAGAGTGAGGTGCCTGCCCTACTCTATGCAACATAGCCGGAGGAAGAGGAGGCAGTCCCACTGCCCACCTTGTAAACTTTAGCTCGGTGATTGGAGCACTCCCCTGGGATGTGGGAGACTCAGAGTGAATTCCCTCTATGCCTGAGGTGAAGAGAGGATTGAACCGGGTCTCCCATCTCCCAGGAGAGTGCTCTGACCACTGAGCGACAGGATATTTGGAGGTAGCACTCCTTCTCTCTCCCCTGTGGAACTGTACCAGTTTGGTGCACGGGGGGCAGGACCTGGGGTCCTCCCTCCCTGGTGGGTGCCCTAACCAGCAGTCTACAGAGTAATTTTCAGTCTCTCTCTCTCTCGCTCTGGCCCAATGACTAAGTAACCACAGTGCAACAACTTCAAATACTTAAAGAGCAGTGGGGTGGGAGGAGACAGAGAGAATGAGTCAGATTTTGAATGGCACTGTCCTGAATATGCCGATGGGATTGGGCTGCACACGTGAGTGGAACCGACTAACGCCTATCTCCCCCCTCAGTTCATGAACCGCTCTGGGGCTTAGGCGGGCAATAGGAGGCAGCAGTACAGAGGCTCAGTGGCAGAAACTTACGCCCCTGGGAAACTTTTACCCCGCAGTTAGGTACTGAGTTAGTTTAGGAGCCTACAGGATTAGGCAGGAGTTTTGTGAAGCACCATGTAGCCTAAAACTTAGCTAGGCAACTAAATCTGCGATTTAGGTACCTAAGTACCTTAGTGAGTACGAGGCCTTAGGTGGTTTTTAAAATGTTACCCTCGCCCTATAAAATAGCATCCACTGACTCTGGAAGAAAGCACCGTATTATCGAAAAAGCTCTTTAAAGAACGCAGAGGTTTTAAACACTTTCCAGTCTCCACAGCCGTAACTGACTGGGTCAAGAACGTCTACTCAGAAACTAAACAGGAGGATTACCTAAAAACCTGTGAGAGTTTGAGGGGATTGGTCACTCATCGTTGATCTCAGAGTAACGAATCTAATCTACCTGCCTAAAATAGCATGGCAGGGTTCATCGCAGTGAAGTTATAAAGCCAGCTGCTGTGGAAATGCCTGAACACAGCTCATACCCTTTAGGGCTGGAACATCCTACTCTCTGATAAGTCCTAAAGCAGTGAGTAGGAATTATACTCAGGGATAAAACAAGGTTATTCACCAAGATTCTTCACATCTGTCACCCTTATTTCAGTGCTTTTACACAGGGCCTGATTTGCAGAAGTACCGAGCACCATGAGTCCAGCTGAAGACAGCAGGAATTGCAGGGGGGCTCAGAAGCCTCTGAAAATCAGGCCCTCAGTCACTTAAGATCAGTAAATTTAGGAGTGTTTGAGAGAGCGGATTGAGCATGAACCTCCATTTGAAAAGGTTTAGGGGTCCGCAAATGAAAGACTGCTCTAAATCAAGATTGCATGCCTTTTGGGAAGAGATGTGTTAACCAAACACATGCTATTGGGCTTAATACAGGGGTAACTGAGTGAAATTCTCTGGCCTGGTACATATGGGAGGCCAGATTAGATGATCTAACCCAAAGTGGGTCGCCACCCTGTTTAAATGGGGTCGCCAGGGCTGGCATTAGACTTGCTGGGGCTGATGCCCGAGTCCCACTACTCGGGGCCGAAGCCAGAGGGTTAGTCAGTCAGGTTACAGGCCCCCTGCCTGGGGCTGAAGCCCTTGGGCCTTGGCCACTCCACCCAGGGCAGTAAGGCTTAGGTTTTGGCTCCCCCAACCGGGGCTTGGGAGGGCTCAGGCTTTGGTTCTCCCTCCTGGGGTTATGTAGTAATTTTTGCTGTTAGAAGGGGGTTGCCGTGCAATGAAGTTTGAGAACCCCCGATCTAACAGTACATTCAGGCCTTTAAAATAAAAATAAATGGAGATATACTCATCTCATAAAACTGGAAGGGACCTTGAAAGGTCATCAAGTCCAGCCCCCTGCCTTCACTAGCAGGACCAAGTACTGATTTTGCCCCAGATCCCTAAGTGGCCTCTTCACGGATTGAACTCATAACCCTGGGTTTAGCAGGCCAATGTTCAAACCACTGAGCTATCCCTCCCCCCTTAAACTCTATTAATTTAGGACTTAAGTGAAGCCTGGATTTCACCTCAGGTTTCTAACTATAGATTTTTGTTGATGCTCTTAATTTTCTTTTCTCTTTTTTTAAATCAACTGCTGGGATTTTTAAGAGCTTGGATAGCACCACACTGCCAAAGAAGAAGGGGCCAACGCCAGAAAAAAATTGGCAGTCACAGTAAAGTGGCACAGAACATGCTACTTGTGTCATGGGAAAGAATGGCAGCCCATAGCCATGCTGTGTAAACTGCTTGGCTGAATATGCTGCAGTTCTTGAAGTACCAATGGAGTTTTCCTTGCAACTGCATCAGCTGCTCTTAAGGCTCTTGTATTTAAAAATGGGTGCCTTTGTGCCATGATGTAACAAGCTCAAATTGACAGCTCAAAGCCTTGTTTAGGAGAATCCATTATTGAATAGGAAACTTATGAGTGTTTTAAAAAAATATATTCGAAGCAGAAACCTCAACAGCTCGCTGAAGAGTCCTGCAAATGCATTTAAGTGCAACCCACAGACCCAGCCATGCTAAAATGCAGATTATAATCTACACATAAAAATGCAGATTCTTGTTACATTTATTTGATTAAGGTACAGAACTGGGATTCACAAGATCCAGGTTCAACTCCCAACTCCAGTTTTGGCTCATTTTAAGGAGCACTCTGGAGTACAATGGTGACATTGACATGCGCAACTACATTACCCCCACTTTAGCTGCTAGAACTTTTACCCTGAGACGTTACATTGCATGCTCCTGCACTTTAAAGTCACACAAAGGGAACTCAGCAGGAAAGAGAGAAAATTATAAAGCAGTCTTTAGAAGAAAGATTTGACTTAAGGGCTACACATAGTTTTGATAGAGCCAATTCACTGTTTTTCTTCCTTGCTTTTTTCTTCCTTTTATTTACTTGAAGTGCAACTTGAAGTTCTTAATCCCTAGACAATGGGAAGTTATAAAAGACATGCAGTGAGAATGTGGATGTGATAAACTACTGGTTTAGGAACAAAAAGGCTGATGTGAAGGCAGCTTGTGACTATAATGTAAAGTCCTTTATTGTGTTACCACCACACATTTCCATGCTGCAAGATAATCAGAGCTGACTTAAAGGTGTAGAAATAATGCAGCAACAACAATTTGTGAGCAGCAAAAAATGCCTTCCATGGTGACTTTCCCCTCATTTAAGTAAAAGTGTACAGAATTCTCAGGTTTACACTAAATAATACAGAACACTTCATTAGAAGAAAGTGCCCTGCAAGATACAAAACTAAAGGTAATGACATACAAAGCTGCTTGGCTGTGCAGTCAGATTGACTTCTAAGCAATGCATAAAGAAATTAACCAAGGCACCTCATGTTTTGAGCCTTGCTCATTCAGGGTTTGCACCCCCACAGCACTAGTTTTTGCATAAATTTATATGCAAAATGTAGTGCTTTCTAAGTCACAATAAATCCATGCTTTCCAAACAGGATTTCTAGCTGCCCAATGAGACACACTCTCACAATAGTTTCCTAAGGGGTGATAAATGGAGAGATAATGAGGAGGAGCCATACGCCCAACAGGATCTACGATACGGAAGGTAGGGTGAACTGGACTTTAAAAAGTGAAGTTACAGCTATCCACGCATTCAAAACTTGAAATATTTTCCAAGAAGTGGGATGCCTGTTTTGAGGATTCCCCTCCACAAAAATGCCTGAGGCCATTGCTCAGTGTACTCAGCAAAGGCTGGAAACAGCTGAAAGTGGGCAACTGAAAGGGCAGAAAATGAACCTGATACAGGACTCAAAACAAGTTAGGCAGCACTCCCCTGCCTGCTCCAAGAATCCTCTGTGGGATGTACAGTAGAACCCCTATTTTACAAACTAACCAGGGACTGAGGAGCTCAAAGTTGAATATGTCAAAATTACAGTAGGTATAGTGCATAAATTCAAGCATGGTGCATGCATCACTTTCTACTTATCCTTCAAACCACTGCAAAAAGTAACTTACAATTCACTGAAGGCATTGAAATGTGAAGGGATGTCGACTTGTTCTTCATTGGTATCCCTTTTGTTATGTTTTTCCCCCTCTGGGAAAAATGGTTCATAAAATTAGTTGTTCAGAAGGTTGTTGCTTGTAAAAAAAATCAAGGTTCTATTATGCCATCATGTGACTTATGCAATTAGCACTCTGGCATCACAATTCCCAAAGATGTCAATGGAGTTGCATCAAGGACAAAACTGGCCCTCCCTACTTCAAGGCTGGATACAGAACCCTACTTAGTGGCATCTACTGGAAGCACAAGTATCTGGATTAGACATGGTCAAAATGTTTCTGTTGAAACAGTTTTTTTTGGACAGAAAATTGGGGTTTCAGAGAAGTAAAACTGTTTGTGAAAAGTGTCTGCTTTTTGTTGAAAGCCTAAACGTTTTTGGTTTTTCAAGAAAAAAATTAAATTTTCCTGTAGAAACACTCCCTCTTTCCCCCATTTGCTGATTAGCTCTAATATGCATGTTCTTTTGGTAGAAAATTGTAGAATTGCATGCTAGATGGTTTGTTAGTATGGAAAGCGTGGACAAAAACAAACCTCCCACATCTCGGAATTCAAAAGTTTTAAACCAGTACTTTAAACTGTAACCTCAAAAAACTAACTAGTATTAAACACAGAATTACTATGCAAGGCATTGCAGGTTCTTGGGACATGGCATAAGCTGCACAGAGCACTTCTGGTGGATACAGATATTTAGTTGAAATGCCCAGTGGAGGAGTTCTGATTAAGCTTCAGTCTTTGGGCAATTGAATAGAAGAGAATGCATGCAGCATGGCCACACAATTATACTGAACAAACTCCAAAAGATAATTGGTTTGTGAAGCATTGGAATTTGAACTGTGAAGTCTAAAACTATGTAATGAGACATCATCAATTCTGATAAATTAAAATGGTAAACAAAAAATAAAGCTGTTTTTACATATTGTCTCTTCTCTCTAAGAAGAACAATAGACTTTAAAAGAAGCCATGCAGTGCAGGTTCCTACAAGGAGTAGAAGTCTGCATGACAGGTATCACCAGGGACCTGTGTTTAAATAAAAGCTATTTTCAAAGTAGATATTTTCAAGCAGAACTTCACTGTGGACTCTTGAAACACTACATATTTTATTTAAATATTAAAAACAACTTCATCTGATTGTTAATTAACAAAGCTGAATGGAAAATAGTTTGCAATGGGGCTTCTTCAAACACAGGCTATGTCACAAATTATATGATATTTCTAACCAAGAGGAACCACTAGGAAAGCTCAGAAATGCTACTTAAAATTTAATTGCTATTTTACTTGGCTGTCAGCAACGTGGGGTAGGAGTGAGTACTTCTTTTCTGTTGTAAAGTGTTTAACATTTTGGGGTGTTCAAATAATAATACACAACATCATTATTAGTAGGGTGACCAGATAGCAAGTGTAAAAAAAAATCAGGATGGGGGGGAGGGGTAATAGGTGCCTATATAAGAAAAAGCCCCCAAAATCGGGACTGTCCCTATAAAATTGGGACATCTGGTCACCCTAATTATTAGCCAGACAGTGATCCAAACTAAGTCCCCTTTCATAGAATATCAGGGTTGGAAGGGACCTCAGTGAGGTCATCTAGTCCAACCCCCTGCTCAAAGCAGGACCAATCCCCAGACAGATTTTTACCCCAGTTCCCTAAATGGCCCCCTCAAGGATTGAACTCTCAACCCTGGGTTTAGCAGGCCAATGCTCAAACCACTGAGCTATCCCTCCTCCCTTTGTTCCATTCTAACAATGCAAGGAGAGCTGAATGTTCCCCCTGGCATGAAGGTGTGTGGTGGTAGGGATCTCTGGCTGCTGTAAAGCCAGATAAGCCGGCTGTACACCCATGTCTCCCCAGTCCACCAGGGTATGAGGCATGGGCAGGTGAGGACATAGCCAGAATAAGCAGTTCCCCAGTGATCCCCAGCCACAGTAAGGGAGTGATATAACTGACAGGTCTCGAAATGTAGTTGTAAATGGGAAACGGTCATCAAGAGGGCATGTTTCCATTGAGGTCCTGTAGGGATCAGTTATTAGCCCTCTGCTATTTAACAGTTTTATCAATGACCTGGAAGAAAACATAAAATCATCACTGAAAGTTTTCAGATGACACAAAAATTGGGGATTGAGAAATAATGAAGAGGACAGGTCACTGAATCAGAGTGATCTGGATTGCTTGGGCCCAAGCAAACAATATGTGTTTTAAGTCAGCTAAATGTAAATGTATACATCTAGGAACAAAGAATGCATACAAAGGCCTTGCTTACAGAATGGGAGACTATCCTGGGAATCAGTGACTCTGAAAAATATTTGGGGGTTGTGATGGATAATCAGCTGACCATGAGCTCCCAATGTGACACTGTGGCCAAAAGAGCTAATGCAAACCTGGGATACATAAACAGGGGGGATTTTGAGTAGGAGTAGAGAAGTTATTTTACCTCTGTATTTGGCAATGGTGTGACCACTGCTGGAATACTGTGTCCAGTTCTGGTGCCCATTATTCAAGAAGGATGTTGATAAATCAGCAAGACCAGATTATATTCACCCAAGAGTTCTGAATTCAAATATGAAACTGCAGAACTACTAACTATGGTATGTAACCTTGAAGCTGAAAAGAGAGAAGGAAGGAAAAAGAAAACTTTCTCCCAGCAGGCAGCTGGCCCACCAGGAAACGTCTGTACCTAGTGCAGGCGGATCTGTGGTTCCAAGATCAGACGCCTGTGTCATCTCAGGATCCATATGTAAATCCGTGGTAGAGATCATCCTTGAATTGAGGGATCGCCAATGACGCTGATGCTTTGTGACCTATCGCTTAAAACAGCCTCTGTACCAGATGACTGGCGGATAGCTAATGTAACACCAATTTTTTAAAAAGGCTCCACAGGCAATACTGGCAACTAGAGGTTGGTAAGCCTAACTTCAGTACTATGCAAATTGGTTGAAACTATAGTAAAGAATTATCAGACGCATAGAGGAGCACAACATGCTGGGGAAGAGTCAACACTGCTTTTGTAAAGGCAAATCGTGCCTCATCAAGCTATTGGAATTCTTTCTGGGAGTCAACAAGCATGTAGACAAGGGTGATCCAGTGGATATAGTGTACTTGGACTTTCAGAAAGCCTTCGACAAGGTCCCTCACCAAAGGCTCTTCAGCAAAGCAAGCAGCCATGGGATAAGAGGGAAGGTCCTCTCATAGATCAGTAACTGGTTAAACAACAGGAAACAAAGGGTAAGAATAAATGGTCGGTTTTCAGAATGGAGAGAGATAAATAGTGTGTTCCCCCAAGTTCTGTACTGGGACCTGTTCTGTTCAACATATTCACAAATGACCTGGAAAAGTAGGTGAACAGTGAAGTGGCAAAATTTGCAGATGATATAAAATTACTCAAAAGAGTTAAGTTCAAAGCTGACCACGAAGAGTTACTAAACTGAGTGAGACTGAGCAACAAAATGGCAGATGAAATTCAATATTGATAAGTGCAAAGTAATGCACATTGGAAAACATAATCCCAACTATATATACAAAATGATGGGGTCTAAATTAACTGTGACCACTCAGGAAAGTCATTGCGGATAATTCTCTGAAAACATCTGCTCATTAGGAAAGAGATAAAATATAATAATGCCACTAAATAAATAAATGGTATTCCCACACTTGGAGTACTGCATGAAGTTCTGGTCAACCCATCTCAAAAAAGATGTATTAGAATAGGAAAAGGTACAGAGAGAGGCAACAAAAATGATTAGGAGTAGGGGCTTCCACGGATGCTGGAACAATGTGTACAGTGGGGGTGCTGAGAGCCATTGAACAAATCTGTAAACCTGTATGTAATGGAAACTACTTCAAGCCAGAAGGTGCGGCAGCACCCCAGCACCCTTAGTTCCAGCACCTATGTGAGATTCCATACAAGGAGA